AATTTCATAATCCTAACTTCCAAACTTACCCTCCCTCCAGAATTTTACCCATTCTCCTTCCAAACTTACCCTCCCTCCAGTTTTTTACCCATGCTCCTTCCAAACTTACCCTCCCTCTATTTTTTACAAATGCTCCTTCCAAACCTACCCTTCCTCCAATTCTTACCAATGCTCCTTCTAAACTTACCCTCCCTCTAATTCTTACATGTTTCCAATTCAAACTTAACACCCTTTCAATTTCTACTTATACTTATTATAAACTTACCCTCTTCTCTTTCCAAGTTAAAGATACGCTCCTTCAAAACTTACTCTCGACCTCCAATTCTTACCTTTGCTTCTTCCAAACGTACCCTCCCTCCAATTCTTAACTATGCTCCTTCAAAACTTACCCTCCCTCTAATTCTTAATTTGCGCCTTTCAAACTTACACTACCTCCAAATTCAATCCTATCACTCAAATTTTTAAATTACAATTTTTACCCAAAATTAATCTGCTGCAATTTTACCATGGTTGGCTCACTAAAATTGCACCTATTGAATGAAAGTTTAAATTATTTTTATATTGGAGCTCTGTGTATTTCTTAAGACTCCTCTTATATTCATACAACCCTTGTCATAACTTTGTGTATTTTGTTGTCTTGTACTGTCGTCTACACTCAGGCCCGTTAACTTTTAAAAAAAATATTTTCAACAAAAAACTAAATTTTTATTTTATCACCGACAAAAATCAATGAAAAAGATAATTTCAGTCACAAAATCTTTTTGGGGGTAGATAAACCCCTGTTGTTAAAGAGCGCGCGCCTTTATGGCGTGCACGCTCGTTTCAATACAGTTTGCTTCTGGCAATACAATCAGCTGTTCGACTCACACAAAATTGTTTAAATCTATTTTTGAAAACTATTGAACACTGAATAGTTTACAGTGAACGTGAAAATAAAATTTTAATTTTAGTGATTTAAATTTTGACAATGTAAACAGCAAAATTGAATTTTAATTTTAAAAAATTATCCCCCTTATCTGAAAAGAAATGAGTTGAAAGCTTTCAAAATACGTTTCGCTAGAAATCATAATATGTCAAGGGTACATTCCGCCTAAAGATTTTATCATGATGAAAAAATAATGACTCAAACATGTCTGAAAATGCCAAATTTTTAGTCTGTGTTAATTTAAACAACACTTTATTTATAAAATATACTTGAACATTGTCAATTAGATAATTCTGTATGGTTAGGGTTGTTGATCGTTTTTGTTCGTTTTAAGATCTTTTCTTTTTAGGAAAAAAACGATCGTTTTGAAAAACGACCCACTCGTTTTGAACTTTTAGAAAACAATTAAAGATGGTCTGTCCTAGAGAACGATTTTTGGACCCCCCCCCCCCAGGCCCGTAGCCAGGGGGGGG